GGGGGGGGGGGGGTGGCAGATGGCGGGCAGGCGACGCCCGGGACTTGGAGCCAGGAGCCGGACGGGACTGCGTTAAACCCGGAGCCTTTATCCGCACGCACGTCCCGGCTCCACACTATCTTCCGGTCCGCCGCCTCAAACCTCCGGCCGCAACCCCCGGCTACACCGTTCAGTTCCAGGCTCCTCCTGGGGGGGGGGGGGGCGCCCTGTTCCCATGGAAACATTAACCCTCAATGACCCAGGGGTTTTCATCAGACTCTGTAATCCGGCTGTGGCAATAATTACCCCGGATCAATACAACATGGGGCAAGAACTGGAGCAAATCTGAGGGGTAGGGGGTGGGGAATGAGCACTGAGGGGGCAATAAAACAAGGGACAGTCTGTATGTGGGTCCAGGAGATGACCCATTGGGGGGCTGGGGGGAGAATGTAAAGTGACCAGTTCATCAAAGTGATGGAGCCACACCATCAGCATCATCATCTCTTTCTACTGCAGCCTCCCTCACTCACACTCCTTCCCTCAGTCACTCACTCACTCACTGCCTCATGAGGAAAGTACCCTCTGGGATTCAGAGCAGTCAGAGGTGACTTCATTGACATACACAAGATCCTGAGAGGACTTGGCCGGGAGGATGCGTACAGGATGTTTTGTGGGAGAATCTCAAACTAGGGGCCATTGTTTATACTCTCAGAAGGTTGTGATTCTTTGGAATTCCCTTCCTCAAAAAGGCAGTGGGTGCAGAATCTTTAAAAATAGTTTTACGGTAGAGGGAGATCAACTCATTATTACCAACGAGTTGAAAGATTACTGGGGAGATGCAGGAATGTAGAGTTGAGGTTAAAATCAGATCAGCCGTGATCTTACTGAATGGTGGAGCAGGTTCAAAGGGCCAAGTGGCCTGCTGTTGTTCCTTGTTCATACATTCAAGTCATTGAAAGTCACTCAGCAGGTTTACAGGACCAGTCTTCCACAGACTATTCAGGAGGGATAGGACACGAACATTCCCTAAGGACACGAGACAGTCAAAAATGAGAGTTTCTTAAAATACAGGTCATAGAGTCATACAGCACGGAAATAGACCCTTCAGTCCAACTCATCCATGCCGACCAGGTTTTACAAACTGAACCAGTCCCATTTGCCTGCATTTGGCCCATATCGCTCTAAATCTTTCTCATTCATGTATCTGTCCAAATGCTTTTTAAATGTTGTAATTGTACTTGTCTCTACCACTTCCTCTAGCAGTTCATTCCACACACACCACCTTCTGCATGAGAAAGTTGCTCCTCAGGTCCCTTGTAAGTATTTTTCCTCTCACCTTAAACCTATGCCCTCTAGTTTGGGCTCCCCTATCCTGGGGAGAAGACTGGCTATTCACCTTATCTATATCTCTCTTGGGTCATTTGGTCAGCCTGGGGGAAATGGTTGGGCTTTGATGGTGGGGGGATTGGTGGGCAACAGGAAAAGCCTGGGGGTGGCTCAGGGAATGGCTGGAGTTTGGGTGAAGGCTGGGGTTGGGGGGACTTGGCAAATGATTTGGGGAGGAGGTTAATGTCAGGTTCTGAGGGTATGCGGTCCATTGAGGAAACCACAATTAATCAGCTGAGACCAGACAGACTCCATTAAACATATGCCCATAGAAGGGAGTCATTATTGAGGCATGCTGGTGAGTTACTATAGTAGATTGCAGTCCTGATGCCACAGCGCTCATGAATAGATTTGGAATCCAGTGTTGGGGTCTATCAATCAAGTTGTTCCAACACTTCAGTATCTGAGGAGTCACGAATGGTGCTGAACATTGCATTGTAGGATAATAGGTCAGCACAACATCATGGGCTGAAGTACTGTGCTGTACTGTTCTATGTTCTACTGCGCAGTCATTGGCGAACATTCCCACTTCTAACCTTATGATGGAGGGAAGGTCATTGATGAAGCAGCTGAAGGTGGCTGGGCGTAGGACACTACCCTGAGGAACTCCTGCAGAGATGTTCTGGAGCTGAGATACTGAATCTTCCATTGTGCTAGGTATGACTCCAGCTGCCGTAGAGTTTTCCCCTGATTCCCATTAATTCTAGTTTTGCTCGGACTTCTTGATGCCACACTCAGTCACTTGACGTTATTCAAGTGGACATTGGATGATTATTTGGATGGAAATAGTGTCCAAGAGTATGGGGAAAAAGCAGGAGATTGGCACAAGAAAATGATGCTCATTTGAAGAGTTGGAGGGGGCATGATGGGCTGAATGGGCTCCTGAAATGTAACAACTCTGTACTGTCATGGGCAGTCACTCTCACCTCCCTTTGGAATTCAGTTCTCAGCTGTTGTTGAGATGAAGGACTTGAAATAAGTAAAGCAAACAGATTATTGCTCCTTTAATTTTAAATGGAGTGAATCACAGAACTTTACACTATCCACATTTTATTTAAATTCTAATCTGATACCAATTTTTACCCTGAATATGAAGAGTTTTAGTTAAGTGGGAGGAGTAATTGCAGGTTAGTTTCTGCACTGTCTTTTTGTGTGTTGACCAGTTTAGTGAGACATGGTCATTATGAGGTGGGATGGATTATTCATGCTCCATCATGGTCAGTAGCAAACCCCAGCTTTATTAGGGGGGACATAGCGTACAAGAGCAAGGGTGTGGTGTTAAACCTGTAAAAGATACTTGTTAGACCTCACCTGGAATATTGTGTACAGATGTGTGTGCCACAATATAGGAAAGATATGAATGTATTAGAGACAGTGCAAAAGTATTTACAAGAATGGTTCCAGGAATGAGGATCAATTGAAGAAGAGAGGGCTATTCCCCTTAGAGAGGAAGGCTCAGAGGAGATAAGGAGAAGTTCTCACTCATAAAAGGAGCAAGTACAAGAGGACACTGGATGTTTACTTAGATAAAAATTATGTGCAACGGTATGGGGATAAAGCACACTACAATTCTTGTCCCAAAATGTTTCCAAGAAAACCACAGGATTGTGGTCAGCATAATACACATATCATTGGCATTCAGAGACAGTAGGAACTGCAGATGCTGGAGAATCTGATATAACAAGGTGTAGAGCTGGATGAACACAGCAGGCCAAGCAGCATCAGAAGAGCAGGAAAGCTTTCCTGCTCCTCTGATGCTGCTTGGTCTGCTGTGTTCATCCACTCTACACCTTGTTATGTCTATCATTCGTATTGTTGGTGATGTTTATTTCAAAATGATGTACAGCAAGCTGTCACGACATGAAAACAGACACTCGAACCAAATCAGCTTTTCTGTCTCTGTATTCACAACACAGTAAAATTAAAACCTTCAAAGACCCCCAGTAGTTACTCCCATAGTTCCTAACCAGATTTTTAAATTGCCGATCCCAGACTTTGTGAATAATTAATTCCAGACACTGGTTTTGTATTTTAAACAAAAGATATAACTATTTATTAAATATACATTAATGTTAGCAGACAAAAAAGTTAAGCAACAAGATAAACTGGTGAATGTCTGTGCTTTAAACCTTAAACATTCATTTTTAGTCCCCATTCACACAAAAGACAGACAAACAAACAAATTCAGTTAAGGAATAAATAAAAAAACAACAAAACTGGCCAGATTACTTCAAAGGTTTTCTTGATGCATTGTTTCACAGGCATAGATGCGGACTCCTTGGTTACTTTTCTGGAAATCATGACCTGGCTTATCTTTTCAATTCCCTCAAGTCGCGGTATTACTACTTGTAACTCAGCTTTCTACTATTTGGGCTTCTGGAAGCTGGTGTGGTTGAGTGGGCAGGGAGTTTTCAAATCTTCATGCCGTATTGTCAACAACCAATGTCACCTCCCCAGAAGAAATAGCGCAAAAAAACCATCAACTCTGGTTGTGCCCTGCGAGACGAACTGTCTCTTCCCGAGGATTCAATTACCATTCAACCTCTGTCATCTGCTTGAACATAGGCTCTCTTCCAGACTTGCCAGAACCAATTCCGATGTATTGACCTTGTTAATAGCCAACTTCCACTTTCTGTTTAAACAGAATGCTCCTCCTGGGGTTGCTGCATCTATAAGAACTCTTTTAATCAAAAATCAGCCTACAATTAACCTTCATGCCTGGTCTCACTAACAAACAAAAGCTTACTTTATCTATTATTTACCTTTTACCACAAGCTGTTTCATAAAGTCCTCTTCAGCTCGAAACCAAAATCAAAAAAAGAATAAAAATAAAACTGATGTAAATCAGCAAGTGTTCCAACATGCCTCCACACTCAAAAACATGAAACACCATATTTTTTAAAAATGCATTTCATAAGAAGGCTAGTAACATTTAAATGACAAGTAAAACACACAACTCGCAGCCATTCATTCTGCCTTCAACCAGATTCTTATTCATTATTCAACTTCCCTGGTCATTTTCTTAAATTTACAACAGCTTACATTTGGAGAAATCATCATTAATTACATTTTTTTCTTGGAAATATGTACAATTTTTATATTAAACAACTGCAGATGTAAATTCCATCTGAACAACCTTGGAGCCTCGTCTTTAAACTAACCACGAATCTCAGGATTATGGCGTGTAAAAATGATGATTTCAAAGCATCTACTTTGAATATAAACTTTGAAATATAAACCTGAAGAGCTGTTATCAACACAATTGCTTCCTTTTCCATCTTTGAAACGTGGCTGGGGTGTTCTTAAATCTAAATGGGATAACTCGACATTAGATGTGACAAATACCATGGTACTTGCCATATCCTTTTAACAAATCAACTTTCGATATAAATGACACACTACCAACACTAGTCTGGGAATAAGGTATGCATCCGTCTTTGTGATTGCATTAACTTTCCAATATTCTATAAATAACTCCATTGAAGCATGTCTTTTAGGAAGCAAAACTACTGGAGAACTCCAACTACTCTGACTTGGTTTAATCAATTGATCCTCCAACATGCATCGAATTTCCTCATTGACTTTGGCTTCTTTCTCTGGGTTTAACCAACCGGGGTTTTGTTTTATCAGGTTTGAATTACCTACAGTTAATGTAGTACATCTCTGCAAACTTCTTTGTATTTTCTGAGTAATCTCACTATATCTCTCTATTGATCTTTCTCCAGGTACAGCATCTGAATTCTCTAATATATCCAAATTTGTTAACCCAATAGTAGGAATATTACTTTGGCATTGTCCACTTCTCTTTGGCTCCCATCCTTTATTCTCCACATCCTTCTTGAGTACACCTGCCACTTGACACACCTGAACATTCTCATCATCTCTACGATAGAACTGGTTTAACATGTTCATATTACACAAGCAATTTTTTTCCCTTTGATCAGGAGTAGCAATTAAATATCTCACCTGACTAACCCTTTTACTTACTTTGTAGACACCATTGAGTTTTGATTTTAATGGTTCACCTTGTAAAAGCAACATTACCAAAACTTCATCTCCTGTTTTAAACTCTCTGGTTGTCATGTGTTTATCTGCTCACACTTTCCTCTTGTTTTTAGATGTTCCTGCGCAACTTTACCTGCTCCTTTTAGTCTTTTTAGAAAAATGGACACATACTCTAACACTGAAGATTTGTTTTTCTGGCTTAGCAATTCATCCCTAATCAGTTTTAATGGTCTTCTTACTTCTAGACCATAAACTATTTCGAATGGGCTGAAGCCAGTGGAGAGTCTCAGGTTACAGTTCATAGAAAATTGAACCCTTTGTCACAGACCTTTGGGCACTCATAATGAAAGGCTTTGATCATGGTTTTGAGAATTTGGTGATATCTCTCTGAAGCATGTTGGGTCTATGGATATTTTGCAATCTATTCAGTTGTTTAATCCCCAAACTACTAATGATATCTTGAAAAAAGTTTTGACATAAAGTTTGATCCTTGATCAGACTGTACTTCTATTGGTAGACCATAAAATGGGTGAAAAACTATGTGAGTTTTCCCAAGACCACTTTAGCTTTGATTGTCCTTAAAGGAATAGCTTCTGGAAATCGAGTAGTCCTATCCATAATGGTGAAGATATTTTCATTTCTGGCTTTTGTTTTAGGTAATGGTCCCATCCAGTCCACTAGTACATGACTGAATGATTCCTCAAAAACTGGTATGAGAATTCGGAGTGCTGGTTTAGTCACATGTTGAGGTTTAATGACAACTTGACAAATATAACACGTTTTACAAAACTGCACCACATCATTATGCAGATTTGACCAGGCAAAATACCTGTTTCTGGCCGCCTGTGTTTTCCGAATCCCCATGTATCTTGCCATGGGACTTTCATGTGCTTCTCACAATATCTGGCGGTACCACTGGCCAATGTATAACCAACCATTCTTCACCTGCAGGTCTGTGAGGGGTCTCCACTTCCTCATCAGCACTCTGTTCTGAAGATAAAAGCACTCTGCACCTCCTTCAGCCTCGACCTCGGTATGGACTGGCTGTGCTCATTGATTTCATTCAGGATCTGCTTTTTGTCCTGTAATTAGGGAGGTCATACATAACACTCCACCTGGATTATCTTCATCTTTCAGGAAAGTTTCAGCTCTGCTTTTGGTTTCACAACAACCCTTATAAATGGATGTTGTTTAACATTGCCCAAGTTTCCGTACACGAAGGAGAAATTCTAGGAATCTGTTCCCTGTCACTTCTGTTTAGAGGGAGATGGGCCAAATGCTGGCAAATGGGACTAGATTAATTTAGGATATCTGGTCAGCACAGACAAGTTAGAATGAAGGGTCTGTTTCCATGCTGTACTGTCTATGACTCTATGACTCTTCTGTTTCTTGGACCTCCTTTGGACATAATATAATTATCAGTGAAGCTACTACCTTTCATTCTGACAAATCATTACCCACAAGTAAATCTACTCCCTTTATAGGTAATGTTTTTACTACTCCAACAATTACTTCTCCTGATAACAAATCACATTCAAGTTGAACTTTATATGGTGGAACTAGAATATATTCTCCACCAATCCCATTTATCAATACTTTAGCTCTCATTGAGCTCTCTGGAGGGAAAATCAATTCTTTCTCCAATAAAAGTGATTTGTTTCCCCTGTATCTCTCAGTTTTGTACATGGGTTTAGCTACCTCACCTGAAGAAAAAGGAAGTACCATTCCTTTTAACAAAAATCCTGCATCCCTCTTATCTACTTTACAACTCACTTCACCAAGGACAGAATTCACCCTGAGCCTTTTCGTTATAGTTAGAGCTGCAACCAAATGTTTGGTAACAAAGTGTAGAACTGGATGAATACAGCAGACCAAGCAGCATCAGAGGAGCAGGAAGGCTGATGTTTCGGGCCTAGACCCTTCTTCAGAAGTTCACAAATCTGTGGTATTATCTTTTCATGTTCCCTTGTACGAATCATTTTTACAAACTCCTGTAAGACCCTGGGTCCCTTGAGTATCTTTAGATATATAAAAGATAAGAGAAAAGCAAGTGTGGACATTGGATGCTGGAAAATGAGGCTGGAAAAGTAGTAATAGGGAACAATGAAATGGTAGAGGAACTGAATAGGTACTTTGCATTCGTGTTCACAGCAGCACACCAGAACTTCTAGAGAATCAGGGGACAGAGGTGAGTGTAGTGGCCATCAGTAAGGAGAAGGTGCTGGGGAAGCTAGAGGATCAAGGGTTACAGGAAAAAGACAGGAGAATGGGGTTGAGAAACATAGCAGCAGTGATTGAATAGCGGAGCAGACTCATGGGCTGAATGGCCTAATTCTGCTCCTATATTTTATGGTCTAAGAGAAAATTTCATGATTTTTCCTGACTTGGAAAAATACAAACTAGCCCTTACTTTCACTTCTATCAGTGCTGATTGGCCTTGTCTCACACAAATAAATCACTTTTACCTTCGCAAACTCTCTCTCAGCTAGATTTAGACCCAAATTGGCTGTCTTCAGCTGATAAAACAATTCAGTCAAGAGATGTAATTTTTTTTCCTAGGTATAGTTAAAAATAACCAAATTGTTGGTGTAAATAATATTGTTACACAGTACTTCAATGTTTTTACTACAAATGAAGTTGGTTTAATTTTGAATTCAAATGGCATGCTTTGCATTTATATACTCTGTATGGTGCTACCAAAGTTGATATTGCTTTAGTTGTATCAGTCAACAGAATTTGCCAATGCCTTTTCAGCAAGTCAATGTTGTGACATATTATCCAAGTCCTATTCATGTAATGCAATCTTCCAATCTGGAATAGGATATGAGTCCACTTTTGTAACCATGTTGACTTTGCATATAATGAATATAGAATCTCTGTGACCAATCTGGTTTCACCAGCAACATGACAGGTGAGCTCGACCTACTTTAACTCGTTCAATAATGTAATTGTCCATCAAGAACATAATCTCTCCCTTCTCTTGAGCTAATCACTCTGGATTGAATCTGTAAGGATATTTTCGGGGGTGGAATTGGGAGGGAGGGGTGCACGAAAGCTCAGTGGTTAGCAGTACTGCATCTCAGCACCAGAGACCGGGGTTCGATTCCATCCTCAGGCAACTGTCTGTGTGGAGTTTGCACATTTTCCCCGTGTCTGCGTGGGTTTCCTCCACGTGCTCTGGTCTCCTCCCACAGTCCAAAGATGTGCAGGCTGGGTGGCCATGCTAAATTGCCCATAGTGTCCAGGAATGTTTAGGTTAGGTGGGTTAGACATGGGAAATTAAGGGAGTGGGTCTGGGTGGGATGCTCTTCAGAGGGGTGGTGTGGACTTGTTGGGCTGAAGGGCCTGTTTCCACACTGTAGGGATTCCATGAATTCTATAAATTCACCCCAAAATTAACAACATAAACATTCCAAGACAATTTTCCTGGCCTTTTCATACAAACTGATCTATGATTCTGAAATAGCCTTTGTGAGTCACTTTGGTGGTTTTCTGGAGACTCAAACATGATGTGATCTAACCTTGTAAGCACATCTGTATTATTCAACCTGGCTGTTGGAAGGGTCAGCTTTAAAATTTTCAATTTCCGATTCATTCTCCAATTGCTTGGATATTTATTTCAGAGTGGCGTAGTAATAATTCCTTTCCATGAATTACCACCTTGCTGCAACCACAATCAAAGCACTAGCATATGACCAACAATATCATCGATCCAAGACCTCAAGGATGTCCTCATTACCAAAGCAGTGACCGGTGCAGATGACTGCTGGAGTGACCACCAGCTCATCCGCTCCTCAATGTCCATCAAATGCCACCAGAAGCAGCTGCAAACAAAGAAACTGTTCAGAAAAAGGCACAACGTTGAGCAACTTCAAGAGTGGAGCAGACTACTGTCCATCCAACAAAGTCTACACCAAAATCTCCAAACAGTTCATTTTAGTGGAGTGGAGGAAACTGGAAAGAGCTGAAGACAGCCATTCTCTCATGTTGTGAAGAAATCATTGGCTACAAGATCTGAAAACACCAAGACCAGTTTGACAAGAATGACCACCTCATCCAAGACCTCATCGACAACAAGTGAAAAGCTCTCCATGGACAGCAGGACAGTGAAGCACAGAGGAGAACTTAACAAACAGTAAAGGTGGAATTACAAAGAACAACACGGGAAATGAAAAACCAATGGTGGACCAAGAAAGCTAAGGAGCTGCAACTCCCTGCTGACACTCAGGGGTCCTTCAGTGCCACCTCGGCAACGTACAGACCCAACACCCTTGGCCTTAAAACTGGTGTGGAGTAAAAATTAAATTAGATTAGATATTATTGTCGATTAATCCCTCCATTAAGATCAACGGTGAAGTTCTCACTAATATGGAACATTTCCCTTACTTGGTAAGATACCTCTCATCTAAGGCCGACATCAATGTGGAGATTCAATGTCATATCCAATCTGTTGCCTACGGATACCCAATGATAAGAGTCTTCAATGTCCATAACACCTGTGCTAGGCAGCATCCTTCTGACTCTACTATATGGCTCGGAAACTTGAACGGTGTATAGACACCACCTCAAGGCCCTGGAGAAGTCCCATCAATCTTGTTGATAACAGATTCTCTGCATCAGCTGGAAGGACAGCCGTACTAACATCAGGGTCCTTGAGGCAGCGAACAGTACCAGTACCGAGTCCATGATCATCTGAAACCAACTCTGCTGGGCCGGCCTCACGTTTAGGATGCCTGCGTTCCAACTTCCAAAGCAAATCATCTTCACACAGCTCAGGGCAGGCACTCAAATGAGAGGACGACAAAGGAATAATTTCAAAAACTCCCTGAAAGCTTCCCTCTAGAAATGGAACATGGATGTCAACACATGGGAGATCCTCGCTCAGATGAAACTGACTTGGAGGAAGCTCCTGTACGAAAGGACATAATTCTTTGAAAACACCCAGCGGCAAGAGGAAGTACAGAAAAGGAGCCAGAGAAAGAAATGCCAGGGATCACAAGGCCAAGGACCAATTCCACCTCCCGGAAACACCTGCCAAACGTTTAGTTGGAGGAACGGGCTCATCACCACACAAGGTCCCACAGAACCCAAGAGCAGTGGCACGGAATTTCGTCAGTGAATAATAGGACTCATTAGTGAGTGATTGCTGATGACAATACTAGCAATTCCAAACCTCAGTTTCATGTTCTGGGGACAGGAGTTTGAATCCCACCATGGTAAATAGTGAAATTTGAATTCAATTTTAAAAATTTGGAATTAAAAAGCTTGCTTACCAGTGACTGTGTAACTGTTGATGGTTGTAACAACGCATCTTGTTCAGTAATGTTCTTTAGGGAAGGAAATCTGACATCCTTACCTGGTCTGGACTACATGTGCCCACAGACCCACAATGTGGTTCACACCTTATTACCTTCCAGGCAGTTGGCAATGGGCAATAAAGGCTGATCAAACCAACAACACCTACATTCCGTGAATCAATTTAAAAAATCCCTGTTTCTTTCATTACCACTTTTCTTCTATCACCCCTGTAATAATATCTCTGAGAAAAGGTCCAGTGAACCTTGAATTTGATGGTTTCCCTGGAGAAAACACCAATACAGAGTTTCCAGCAGCAAAAGTTTGAACTTTGGCCTTTTTATTTGGCTTTCCTTGTTTGTTGAACATCCTTCAAATGTGCTTTGGCCAACTCACATGCTTTGGTCAGTTTCTCTCTGACATTCAAAATATAGGTTGGAAGTCTCTGACCTTTAGTTTTTTAATTTTTCTTTCATCAATTTAAGTGGTCCACTCACCTTATGTCCATATATTGGTTCAAAAAACCAAATCCTGTTAAAACTAAAAACTCATCAGGACTGTCCCTAATGGCAAAACATAACACAGGAATTCCCTTATCTCAATCTTTTGGACATTTGTGCCAAGTAACATTCGCGCCACACAAATGCCAGGTAGTGACTGTCTCCAATAAGAGACAATCTAATCATTGCCCCTTGACATTCAATGGCATTACCATCACTGAATTCCCCACTAACAACATGAAACTGAATTGGACTCGCCATATAAATATGGTGGCTACAACAGCACAGAGGTTAGGAATATCGCAGTGAGTAACTCACCTCCTGACTCCCCAAAGCCTGTCCACTATCTACAAGGCACAAGTCAGGAGTGTGATGGAATATTCCAACAACACTCAAGAAGCTTGACACCATCCAGCACAAAGCAGCCCACTTGATTGGCACTACATCTACAAGCATTCACTCCCTCCACCACTGACGCTCAGTAGCAGCAGTGTGTACTATCTACAAGATGCACTGCAGAAATTCACCAAAAGTCCTCAGACAGCACCTTCCAAACCCACGGCCACCTCCATCTAGAAGGACAAGAGCAACAGGTACATGGGAACACCATCACCTCCAAGTTCCCCTCCAAGCCGCTCATCATCCTGACTTGATGTGGAGGTGCCGGTGTTGGACTGCGGTGGACAAAGTCAGAAGTCACATCACACCAGGTCATAGTCCAACAGGTTTACTTGAAATCACAAGCTTTCAGAATGCATCCCCTTCATCAGTTGAAGTGCGGAGAGGCACACAGACACATAATTTATAAGCAGAGGGGAATCAAGGGCAGAGAGATCAAAAGATAATACAGATGGTGTGAGTGGAGTGTCAAACAATAAGTCTCTGCAGGTGATCAAAAGTGTCAGATGGTGTGAGTAAACTGTCAATAGCTACATAACAAGCGAAGGGATGATCTGTAATCCGATTGAATGAGGCAGAGAGATAATTCAAAAAATTAAAAATAAGGTATTGTTGGAATGCAATGATCTCCTCAGAAGACAGATACAGGATACGACTGATAGAGTACCCTTCATCGTTCAGTATTTCCACGGAGAGGAGAGACTATGCCATGTTCTTCACAGCCTTCAACGTGTCATCGATGATGATGAACATCTCACCAAGATCTTCCCTATGCCTCCACTTCTCACCCTCAAACAACCACCAAATCTTAAACAGACCATTGTTTGCAGCAAACTACCCAGCCTTCAGAACAACATGGACCACAACACCATACAACCCTGTCATGTCAACCTCTGCAAGACATGTCAGATCATCGACATGGACACTACCATCACACGTGGGAACACCAGCCACCATGTACACGGCAGATACTCATGTGACTTGGCCAACATTGTCTATCTGATACACTGCAGGCAAGGATGCCCCGAGGCATGGTATAGTGGTGAGACCATACAGACGCTACGACAATGGATGAATGGACACTGTGTAACAATCGCTAAACAGGGATGTTCCCTCCCAGTGGGGGAACACTTCAGCGGTCAAGGACATTCAGCCTCTAAACTTCAGGTAAACATCCTCCAAGGCAGACTTCGAGATACACAACAACACAGACTTACCGAGCAGAAACTGATAGTCAAGTTCTGTACCCATGAAGATGGCCTCAACCGTGATCTTGGGTTCATGTTGCGTTACATGTGACCACACCACACTGTTCTGTATCTGTAAAATCTTCCCTACTGTCCTGTTTTAACACCATCACCTTGATAATTTGTTATGATCTCTCTACCTTAATTAGTTTGTACAGTTTTAGATTACTTATTACTTTGGTTAGACCCTCGCCATGCAACTCTTATACCCATCATGTTATTCTAAGCATTTACCCTGTCTGCAGCACCACCTTATTTTTAATTTTTTGTAATTATCTCACTGCCTCATTTAATCGGATTATCGGTCATCCCTTCGCTTGTGATGTAGCTGTTGACACTTTACTCCACTATCTGACACTTTTGGTCACCTGCAGAGACTTATTATCAGACACTCCATTCACACCATTTGTATGATCTTTTGATCTCTCTGCCCTTGGTCTCGCTGCCCATAAATTCTGTGTCTGTGTGCTTCTTTCTCATTTCATCTTACAAAAGCTTGTGATTTCAAATAAATTTGTTAGACTATAACCTGGTGTCATGCGACTACTGACTTGGAAATATATTGCAGTTCCTTCACTGTCATTGGATCAAAATCCTGGAATTCCCTCCCTAAGGGCATTGTGGGTCAACCCACAGCACATGGACTGGAGCAGTTCAAGAAGGCAACTCACCTTCTCAAGGGGGCAACTGGGGATGGGCAATAAATGCTGGCCCAGCTAGCGATGCCCATATCCCACAAGTGGATAAAAGGAATACACTAGCAGGATGATGTTGATCATTCATATTTTTGTTCGTCTGTGGTTGGAACTGATTTATTTGCAGTAAATTCTAGTTTCATGATCTGATAACCATTATGGAGTCATAATTACAACTAGCTCAAAGCTGGGAACTAAATATTTAGGGTTTTTAAAATATTATTTACTCATGGGAGGAGGGTGTCACTGGCTAGGTTAGCATTTATTGCCCATCCCTAATTCCCTAGAGGGCAGTTAAGAGTCAAACACATTGCTGTAAGGATGGCAGTTTCCTTCCCTAATGACATTAGTGGACCAGATGGGTTTTTCTGAAAATCAACAATGGTTTCTTGGTCATCATTGGACTCTTTAATTGTAGATATTTATTGAATTCAAATTCCAATATCTACCTGGGTCTTTGAATTAACACTCCAGTGATAATATCACTAGGCCACTGCCTCTCCCATGTGTCTTTTTCAAAAGGACAGGGAGGAGGGAAAAGGTGGTGGAGTAGCATTGTTGCTGCAGGACAGAATAAGTATGAGAACAAAAAATGACCTTGAATTGTAAGATGTAGAATTTATACAGGTGCTGGTAAGAAATAAAATGGAAGCAGATACTGGTACGAGTCATGTATAGGCTCCTTAACAGTAGCTATACTCTGGGGCAAAAGATAATTTTTTTTCTATTCATTTGTGGAATGTGGGTGTCACTGGCTGGCCAGCATTTCTTGCCCATCCCTAGTTGCCCTTAGAGATAGTGCGAATATGTAACAAAGGCAGTACATTAACCATTGGTGACTTTAATCTATGTGTAGATTGGGGTAGTCAGATTGGCGGAGGAAGACATAAGGGAGAACACATAGAATATATTCGAGACAGTTTCCCAGAACAATATGTAGTGGATCATTACCAGGGATCAAGCTGTTTTGGATCTGGTGATGTATAATAAATGATCTCAGACTAAAGGATCCCTGAGGAAAATGCGGCCATGACATGGTAGAATTTAGCATTCAGTTTCAGAGTGAGCAACTTACATCAGAAAGAGCTGTGCTAAGCTTAAATAAGGGGCATTCCAAGGAAATGAGGGCAGAGCTGCCTGGAGTGGACTGGGGAAGGAGGTTAGCAGCAAAGGCAGTAGGAACAATGCCACATATTTTTAAAAATAGTTAATAGAACATAGAACATAGAACATAGAACATTACAGCGCAGTACAGGCCCTTCGGCCCTCGATGTTGTGCCGACCTGTGAAACCAATCTGAAGCCCATCTAACCTAAACTATTCCATTATCATCCATATGTTTATCCAATGACCATTTAAATGCCCTTAAAGTGGGCGAGTCTACTATTTTTGCAGGCAGGGCATTCCACGCCCTTACTACTCTCTGAGTAAAGAACCTACCTTTGACATCTGTCCTATATCTATCATCCCTCAATTTAAAGCTATGTCCCCTCGTGCTAGCCATCACCATCCAAGGAAAAAGGCTCCCACTGTCCACCCTATCTAATCCTCTGATTATCTTGTATGTCTCTATCAAGTCACCTCTTAACCTTCTTCTCTCTAACGAAAACAACCTCAAGACCCTCAGCCTTTCCTCATAAGACCTTCCCTCCATACCAGGCAACATCCTGGTAAATCTCCTCTGCACCCTTTCCAATGCTTCCACGTCCTTCCTATAATGCGGTGACCAGAACTGTACGCAATACTCCAAGTGCGGCCGCACCAGAGTTTTGTACAGCTGCAACATGACCTCATGGCTCCGAAACTCAATCCCTCTACCAATAAAACCTAACATACTGTACGCCTTCTTAACAACGCTATCAACCTGGGTGGCAATTTTCAGTGATCTATGCACATGGACACCGAGATCTTTCTGCTCATCCACACTACCAAGAATCTTACCGTTAGCCCAGTAGTCTGTATTCCTGTTACTCCTTCCAAAGTGAATCACCTCACACTTCTCCGCATTAAACTCCATTTGCCACCTCTCAGCCCAGCTCTGCAGCTTATCTGTGTCCCTCTGTAACCTGCAACATCCTTCCGCACTACCCACAACTCCACCAACTTTGGTGTCATCCACAAATTTACTAACCCATCCTTCTACGCCCTCATCCAGGTCATTTATAAAAATGACAA